TGAGAACTCTAGTCTAAGTGTCCCGAACGCTAGTGCCTTGATGAATGCGAAAACAGTAGGAGGTCGCCTGCCCGTTGTATCCGGGAGGGACGCCCCATGCCGTTGTATCCGGAAGGGGAAAAACATCTCTGCTGTCTCCTGGAAAGGATCCTGCGAACCGTTGTACCCGGGGGTGGGAATGTTTCCAGTTACAGCCATGCCGTTGTATCCGGAAGGTTGTTGTATGTACATAGGAGGTTTGCGATAGGGCTGGGTAGGGGGTTTAGGCTTTGAATTCTGTGCATACCGATATTGAAACTGCTTTTACTGATACTGCTTTTGAAAATAATTATACGAGATAACCGTGCGATAATGGTGAGCTAGTTGGTTGCTCACCCCCATTATTTTCTTGTTGTTTCTCTCTTCCTTTGGTTTAGGTTAAGACGAGCTGGAGGCGGTGGCGTAGGACAAGCGAGATGGTGGTCATATGTGTTGATAAAACTATGCTTCCGCTTAAACTCGAACTTTATTTGTTTGCTAGTATTGCCTTGGATTATTTACTGCTTTCACTTTTCGAACTATGTTGAATTGGGTTGAGCTTTGAATAATGTTGGATCTTTTGAAATGTTTTTTTTAAGACTTACGTATATTTGGAACTTGTCTTATTGTTAGTTCGGGCATGTGTGTTATTTAATGATGTTAGTAAGTAGCGCCCGTTTCTCGATAAAGGTTTTAATTTATATTTAAAAAAAAAAAAAAAAAAACTCTGATTTTTATTAAATAAATACGGTAAATTCTTGAAATTAAAACGGGGCGTTACACTACGAGAATGTGATTTCGAATGAGGCCGTGATGAAACTTGGTTTGTTAAGTGAGCTGCATCTGGATCCGTATGCTCTTGCTTGGATACAGCATGATGATTCTGTTCGTGTCACCCGACGCATGTTGGTGGCCTTTTCTATTGGATCCTCTTATAAGGACATGACATGGTGTGACGTCGTGCCTATGGATTCTTGGCACGTTTTATTAGGACGACCTTGGCAATTTGATCGCCCGGTGGTACATGATGGACGTCTCAGCACATAGAGTTTTTTATTTGAGGGCGTTCGCATAGTCCTGCATCCATCGTCATCCAGTTCTCCTTTGTCATCGTCGTCTTCGGTTTTATTCATTTCTCGCGCTGAGCAGTGTAGGGAGTTATCCGGTTTGGAGGATGACCGCTCGATGATCTTTGACGTAGGTGATTTTGTCGACAGAGTCGTCCAGGGAGCTGACGAGATTGCGGATTCGAGGGCAAATCCTGTCCACCCGGGGGAGATTGATGTCGACGTGATTGCATTAGCATATCTCGACAAATATGAACGACTCTTTCATTAGTTTGAATGTTATTCCGTTTCTTATTATTATTATTTATATTTATGTTGTGTTGGGCTTGTATTATGTGGACTTTTAAGTTTAAGTGGTTAGGACTTTGCATTAGTAAAAAAAAAGGTACGTATAATCATGATCGGGCAGTTATAATTTTATGAATTGGATCAGAAAAGAAAAGAAAGACCGTTTCTTTTAATATAGAGAAGAGAACTTCTCTTTACACATTCAATCTTCCATCACGCTGCTGCATCAGTATGAGTTCACTTGGCTCCTTTTTAACGTATGGTACAGGACCAAAATAAATATTAGTTGGGAAAATATAAAGCCAATTCAATTTTTATTTTTGGGAGTGGGGTTAAAAGAAAAGGGAATATAACCAAATATGAAAAAAGGAGAACAGAAATCTGTGGGCATATTTGGCTAGATATGCCTTTTTTACTTGCAGTTCATTTGCAATATTAAAATACGACGTATGATGTATAATATATGCTGGTGATAGAAACCTGGAGTCATCCTATTCTTTATTTCATTTTGCCTAGTAATATAGAATCTTGAACTACTAAGACCTGTGTACATATTTTTATTGGAAATATCAAAATGAGAATACAGAAAAACCAAAGGGAACTCGGGTTTGCTACAAATAAATAACAATATATTATTGAATAAAGTTAGAGGTGTAATAGCAAAGTGGGCTTCAGCACCAAAATACCTGGATTGATCCATTCCAAATATCTAATATATAATAAATTATTTTTTTAATATTTTATATATTAGTACTCTCCATAATCGAAATGTTGGTTTCACTTGAAGCCAACTGTTGACTTTATAGGAAAATCGATAGACGATAGTACTCTATGTATCTCACAACAATATTTAGCTTTATTGTTTTTCCAAAATTAAATGATATTTTACTTTTATGTTTGTGATCTTCATTTCATGTAAATCCGTAACATATCTTCAGAAAAAGTAACTTGGTATGAGACAGAACATATAAAGGAATACATTTACTATAAAGTAATGCGGCATAGAAAGAGAAATTGAAAAAGTTATAATTTTTTTTGGAAAAAAAATAAATTATTTAAATGAAATTATAAAAAAAAAAAAAAAAGATGAAATGTGGTATGCAAAGACCTCCGATCGACTAGGATCGGCCTCACACAGAAAGGATTTTTCTGTGAAGAATTTACTTAAATGAGTATGTGTAGGAGATGAGTTGCAGAAAATATAGAGTATATGCAACGTAACTAGTACGAAGAGTAAGAGATATTAATTAATATTTATAAATTAAAAACATGAAATCAATATGTAATACAATGTATCTATATAATTTACTGAAAATGTTATATAAAATTTAAATTGTGCAAAATTATATAAAAATGTCTATTGAAAATTAGTACACATCTCGTGGGTTGCACATAACTGATAATAAATCACATTATATTCATTTCAAAATATGTATCATTTCAAAATTTTTATTCCCAAATTCGATTTGACTATAATATGATTCTATAAAATAATTATTTTGGTAAGATTTTATCATATATTTAAAAACCTATGTGTAAGTATAAATATAAAACTTATATTGTTTAATTAATTAAAATAAATTTATTTTTGTATAAAAAATCCAAATCAAAAAATTTAAGTAGTTGAGTAAAAATAATCAGTCATAAAATTTTTTATTCCGAAAAAATTGACACTCTTTATCATGCTAGAAAAATGAACAGATCATTTCGTACAAAATTATTTAAAATGTCGTAACAAAAAATGAATTAAATCGAGACCCACTAATTATACAAAAAAAAAAAAAAAAAATTGACCAAAGCTTTTTCTATAAAAAAAATATCGATACACATTATATCAAATTATCAGTTCATATTATTTTGTTGGAGTTACGGTAGTTTTATTATGTTAATTTCATACGAAAAATTGAAATAAAAATCGAAACCCACTCCTAAAAACCAATATATTAGCATGCGCATTATAGAAAAAAATACACCGTATATTGATTAATTTTTCAACAAATTTTCTACAAAAATAAAGTTATCAAATAACTTAAATAAATTTGCTCACTTTATACCATATATTGATTAATTTATTTCCATAGAAACAACCATCAATACCAAAAATAAATTTGTGCACTATATACCATGTATTAATTAATTCACATGATTTGAGTAATTAAGGTATCTTAAAATATGACTTAATTACTTCCTTAAATAATGAGCCGCAATTTTCATAAGTGATCATTTGAAATATACCATAAATTGTTAAATTAATTTTTCGAAATAGTAAATATTTTTTTAGGGAAATAGTTACTATTTAAAAAATAATCAAACCTTTATATATATATATATATATATATATATAGGTGGCTAGAATCACACGTCTCACCCCTATTTATAAGGGTGAGGTACCTGTTTCTAGAAGGATGTCAGGATGCGGTGAGCTGGCAACCCAAGCTGCCCGTTAGTACAACTCGCACTATCCAGTATGTCAGAGACGGTTATAATGTGTGGACCAATCAGATGATGCCACATGCCTTTGTCTATGTGTTGCATTAATTAATGTGAGATTCCTTTTTATCCCTTAATTTTTTGTATTAGACCGTCTAATGATGCGACCGACTCGAGGTCTGCTGAGGTAGAGTACTAACTATTCTCAGGCCCAGCATTGTCCCTTCTGGTCGATCATACTACCAATCCTAATCCTACCAACAGGTCGAGTTTCTATTAGGACAGTCGAGGGCCTTAGCTCTACCTGTTGCCGTTGTCCTGTACCCCCTAGACTGTCTCCAGATCGAAGGCTCTTAATCATGTACCGATGATGTTTAACCACCCCTGTTCCATCTGTTTTCGCAATTGAATTAGCTCTTTCGTAATAGACTGGGCTGTTAACCCTAATGGCGGTTCCACTTGACCAAGCTGATTGTTAGGCCTAATTGACCGGTTTATTCCCTTAAGTATGGTATCCCATATCAAAATGCATATTACCTTTTATTGAAAATTTAAATATCCAATTACAATAATAAAATAAAACTTGTCCAACCAAATAAAAGTGAAATTGTTTTATGACCATTTGCCATCTAAAAATATCCAAAGTCTTATTAACTCGAGCAATATCTGTCATCACAATTATCTATATCTAAATATAAAGAAGGAAGCCAATCTTCCGCTAAAACAAAATTTATTAGATAAAAAAATTCTTATGTAAGTGTAAACTATAGCCAAATTCTTTCCCAGCAGTATTTTAGACTTCATTCAGTTGTAAGGTTCCTATGTTTTACCTTTTTTATATCCATATTACATCCTTATGATTTCTTCTCTTTTGTTTCTTTCAATATTGTTTCATTATTCCCTTTNGTAAATATTCATATTGTTTTTTCTGCTTTTTTTTCTTCAGGTTGATATTGCATTATATACATCATATTTTATTCTTTCATATTCATTATCGGCTTCTTTTTATCATGTCTACAAGACTACAATACATGGCATAAAATGCCAACGGTAACTACTTCAAGCCCAAAAGCACAAAAGAAAGATCCATGAAGTATGTAGCATTCATCCAGCATGCAAATGCACGCAGACAAATCCACCCATAGGTTTTGTACCTAAATCGACACAAAAACTACATTTCTCATAACAAAATATGAATTCTCATAACAAAATATGAAGATGATCAAATATTAATATCTCACACACATGAAGTACACACGACTGCAAAGGTCAAAGTAAAATCACTGTGAATATTGTTTCTTCCAGACACTGACAAATTGTTTCTGGACATTGAGGGGTTGTTTAAGTGAGGAAAGTCTAAAGAAGCTAGTGATGTTATTCTTATTGATGATGTATTGTCACTAACCATTATTATAACACTTGTCACTCGCGAAAAAAAGATGTTTTCTCCCATCACACCTGAACTGGATCACGAGTATATCATTATCATAGACGTGGCCTAGCTATTGAAGGTGTGGAACCAGGTGGTGTACTCTGCATAAAACAGGACTGTTGAGTGAAATCTATATATACATACATGCATTAGTACATACAAGCACACATAATGCTGGCATAGGAAAAGTCAGCGATATGGTTTTGAACTGATTGACTTTTCATGGCTGAAAATACTATAAACTGAGAAGTGAGAAATTTGGCCAAGGTAAGGGATATTTTAACACAATGCATTAGCTATGATTAAGGCACAAGTTGGCCTATGGTCTTAAATCATAGGGTTTTTAAGGTTCAGTTGAGGCAGAAAATGCAAGAGGGTGCTGTGTCTTGTGGTCTATCTTTCCTGTTTTCTGAGGTTCCTCACCCCTTGAGTTCTGTACTTTTCTTTTTATCAATCATTAATCAGTTTCTTTTCAGAAAGAGAACAATAGAGATAAAATTCATTTTGGTTTAAATTCAGCAGTCTTCTGATGATGTAAAATGTGATAGTGCCATTTGCATAAATAAAGAGGCAATTCCATGCCACTTAAAGCTTTTTTGCTCCGAATTTAATATTATCGGAAATAACAGTCTAGATTATACCAATTTTTAAGTTATATTTTATGCTAAAACAGATAGTAATATTGTCTCCAACAAATACTAAGCTTTGAGAGAATACATACCAATGGGATGCCTCTAGTTGCTCTTTCTTCTAAGAATCTTGATGGTTTAAAAAAATTCCCATATGTTTTGTACCATTTCTGGAGACTTCTGTACACGTGATGTGCTCCAATAGTGTCCGCCCAATAAATAAGACCGCCACTGCAATACAAGACAAACATTTTTCGTTGTTTATCATTATTCCTTCAAATAAATCATTTCAGAACTATGAAATAACAATGACCGATAAAAATTCCAAACTACAGATAGCATATTCACTAAATTGGAGTGAACAATTTATAATTGAACTTGTGCCAAAATTTAGTTGCTAACAACTGTTACTAATGCAAAGAAGTAAATGTAGTTCTCTCATTTCCATTTTCCTATGCAGGAAAAGGATTTGGGACTCAAACTAGATACCACACAAGGAAATTAAATAGTATAGGAAAAAATTTTGATAATCATATCTTAAATTTACAAGGAGAAGACTACGAAAACTGACCGATAAGATGGAAAACTCATGCCAAGAATAGAGGCAACATCAAGATCGGACGCACGGACAACTATGCCATCATCTAAAACTCGACATGCCTCATTAACCACGGGAAAGAGGATCATCTCAACAATTTCTTCATCGCTAACAGATATGGGCTGCATCAAATGTCAAGTGAGAAAAATACTCATAACAAATTATGAAAGCGTAAGTAGGTTATATAACAGTCACAATTATAGAACATCTATGCACTAGTTTTGACACGAAACAGTAAAATCTGCTGCAAACACCTTTCCACCGGGCATGACGTTGGTAAGCCTCCTAGATTCTTCAATTATTGGGAGCACAGTAGGGTCAGGTTTTGGCTTGCTTCCTTTCTCATAGATATAATATCCTTTTCCATTATTTTTACCTGCAAGGAAGTAATGCATGCCTGTTATCATCTGAAGTAAAATCGGAACTTTGAGTGCAAGCCTGAAAACAATTAAAACCTTACCATTCCTCCCATTTTTCAAGAGAAGCTCAACCAGTGGAGATTGAAAAGTTCGATCAGGAAACGACGAAGAAAATTCTTTTGTTGTTGCAACAACTACTCCATATCCTGCAACATCCTGAAGCCTGTAGCAGTAACACGAGTCAATAGTAAACAATTTGTTATAAGGCCACACTAAACATTAAATATAAAGGTATATCATCAACAAGCACATTTTTAAGAGGTATTCGAAGAAAAACACCAGCATTTGCCACAGGACAAAAAAAAGTAAAGCTTAATAGAACATTCGGTGAAGGAAAGAAAATTACTGGAATGGACCCATTGGAAGACCAAAGTCGTGGATAAGCCGATCAATTCTGAAAACATCCACACCCATGTTAACCAAAAGATGTGCACTTTGACTGTAGGGAAAGAATGTCCTATTGACTGCAAAGCCAGTGCAGTTTCCAACTACAACAGGAACTTTCTTTATGGCCTTCCCAACAGTCATTAGATCCAGAATTACTTGTGGAGAAGTTTTCTCAGTCCGTACAACCTCCAAGAGTGGCATCACGTGAGCAGGACTATCAACAATTAAAATTTCAATAAGCAATAGAATATATTAAATCTATTCAACACAAGATCCTAGCAGTTTAACACCCAGTTCCAAATCATACATAGTAGCTTTGGTTTATATTAACAATAACATTTTACCCAAATGAACTTCGAGAAATCTATTTTTTTTTTATAAGAAAATGAAGTGTATAAGTGCAGCAATGAGAAGGTGGTCGGTGAATTTCCTCCGTAAGTATGGCACAGACAGTTAAGATCGACCAACTTCCCAACCTACCTCCTCTAGAGGTTTCAAGATGATGGAGAATATAATTTGAGCATGGTTAATGATTCAGGAAGTATATGATTGATAACATTTTTAGGCAGTATAATACCTTTTCAAAACTCAAGACTCTTAACATACTGTCTTATGCGTTGAAACGCTATGCAATATAGATTTTTGCATCACATAAAATCGTCCTATTGTTTACTTTACGTCATGAGAAAATTTATCATACATAATATGATATTCAATGCAATAGATCATATGTATCAAGAAAATATAATATCAATGTACGAGATGCTCAACATAGAAAATTGTTAAAGTTGCCCTCATCTATATGGTCCTATGATATGATCATGGACGTTAAATTACTGCCAGTGCTCATCAAACTTCATATCTGCTCGGAGACGTGGGAGACTAATGGTCCTCTAGATAGTTTCGTCTCTCTCAAGCACAATAGGTGTAACAGTTCAAAAGATTAATAAAAAGAAAATAACCTGAAAAAATGTGCACCCACTATCCGACTTTGTGATTTGGTCTTCTCTCCAATTATATTGAGGTCAATAGTAGAAGTATTTGAAGCCAAGATACAGTGAGGCGGGCAAACCTTCTCAAGATCACCAAATATTTTCTGCTTCAGGGATATGTTTTCTATAACAGCCTGCAAAAATACACTACTTATTGAAAAAAATCACTACACGTGACGGAAATATTAACACCACAGCCAACAACTGCAATGGTGTAGGACAACTTATAAGTTCATTTATTATTGCCTTAGATCAAAGTCAGAGAGTTCAGATAGGTTGCATGAAAGCCAACAAAAGAATAGATTTCATAGTGAAGTACTTGGAAGAACCAAATTTAAAACTCAGCATTTGGAGGTTGACTATAATATGGAGCAGATTCGTTCAAGTGAACTACTAGATCAAGAGATTGATAGATGTGCATTAGAGGCTACAGCAGGAAGAAGGAGTTGCTGCAATAGTTCATTTGAATAGGTTATGACTTCGTTCTTCGCTGACTAGAGGTGCATCAGTTTATGTTTGGACACATCAGCATTACAAAGGCCATATCTGGTTACCTTATCCAAAGTCTACGCTAACAAAAATTTGAAATTAACAATAATACTGGCAGAAAGATTTGAAATTAACAAGAATACTGGCAGGACACACCTACTACTTACTGGCCTGATGCAACTAAAAGAAAGAAAAATTAAGGCAAGAAATTGATGTTAGATCATCTAAAGTGTAGAAGGCAGAATGCGTTTCAACATATAGATTACAAAAAGTCCGAGATTATAGATTCAAATTTCAACTCTGAATTATTTTGACTCTGTAAAGGAAATCAGTAAATAAAAATCAGACCTGGATCATATTAATTATAGACTAAGACTTCACTTAAAATAAAAAATAAAAAAATACTGAGAAGTCAAATCCAACATCCCTTGGCTACTGCAGCATATAATAATCTGAAGGCTTCATTTCAAGATACCGCCAAAGTGGCATGGATTCTGCTTAACATTGTTTTTTTTTTTTTTCAGTTACTAACACATTAGCTTTTAGATTCACCTCATACAGAATATAAACATGATGAAGAAACTCAACGGGCAATTCATGATCACTTGACTATTCTTTGTTGGAAATAGTTTTGAACTATTCATCCATCCAAAAGCTAGAATAACATAAGTTATTCGCATAATTGGAAACTCAACAGAACAATTCTTCCAACTAACCTCAATAACCATATCCACATCCTTGAAATCAGAGTAGTCCAGAACGCCTTTAAATATCGAAAGAGCTTTTTCCGCTTTATCACGTGCCAACTTTTTCCGTGACACCAAATTCTGGATATTCACTGCCACACAAGTATAAAGATATGAATTTAGTGAGAAATTCAACAGAGAATTAAAACAATGAAGCCCCATTTAATCACAATTATAGCAAGTTAGTAATAGTTGACCATTTTTCTTACTTCTCTCATTTTTTTCCGAGTTAAGCACAAAAAACAGACTTTCATGACTTGCATTTTGAATTGGCAGATTATGCTATCAGAGGAAACTAAACAATTCCTACTAGTATCTGCAGTAACCAGTATACTTATTCACATCTGATGCGGAGATACACAACACAAATGCACAATATTCTGGGAAGTCTTTAACTATAGGCAAACACTAGGATGGACTAGCCACAGCAAGTTAAATATTAGCTAAAAGTAAATCTCAGTTAACCTTCTACAGCCTTCATCCCCTTGAGAAGATATTCGGAATTGATTTCTTTGAGAATAACGTATATATCACTCAAGATCAGAGCTGTAGCTATGCCGGAGCCCATTAGCCCTCCACCAATGACAGCAACTTTCTTAAGTCGTCTTGGACTAAGTCCAATATCAGAAACATTGGGCACCTGTAAAATATGACCTTTGATTTTGTTACAGGAAAAAAGAAAAGTTGTTTTCCGATACTCGATAAAAGTCACAACAAGAAAGAGAAAAGAAAAACAGAAAGAAAACATAGCTATAGCCAATTTCAGTTAATAACAATCGCAGGAGCAGGATACTAGACCCCAGAAGAGGTAAGATTGTCCTCGAATAAATCAGGTCAATTCAGACAAAGAGAGCAAATTAAACAAGATTAGTTCAGGTGACAAGCAACTAATATTCATTCTTAACTGTGATATTCAACACCCAGTTACTGGTAGACCTGTCACAGACCTATATTGTATCATGGAGATTCATTTGCCAGTGTAAGCAAGCCATTAAATGAGCTGTTCACTGATGCTGATAAAAATATATAATAACCCATTCTAGTAATAAAATGTTATGTTTGAACATTTTTTTTTCTAAAGAAGCCTCATCAGGGAGAAGTATTCCAAGGGAATATTATTCAGAAAACCTATTCATGAGTGGATTCACTGAGTAACTTTTACCTTTGTTGTTGCTCTTTGAGCAAAAAAAGCATGCACTAGACCTTTAGAAGTGTCTGTCAAGACAAGCTCTTTGAATACCTTTGACTCCTGCAACAAACATTTGATGCATGTATGTTAGTAGATTACCATGAAACTGACATCAAGAGTCTTACTTTGTTCAGCACAGTTTAAAATATTTGTGCCTGTAAGAAGATTAAATCACGATCTCCACAAATTTTTGGTGTCAGATATTGACTTAAAAATACATGTGCACAGTGCCTAAGAAACTACGGTGCAGGTACACGTCATTGCCTAAAAAAATGTTGAAAAAAGAGCCAGCGAAATATTGTTTCATATATTGCTCCGTAACCAATAACATATAGGCTTCGCTTTCCTGTGTCTTCATGGGAAAGCCCTCGTCCCAGAAAGATAAGAAAACCAGCCATATTTAGATAGAAGCCAATGTCTGGTATCATAGTCGATCTTATTGAAAGAATTTCCTGAAAGATGATATTATTGAAAGTGATTAAGGAAATCCTATAGAGGCTCTAATTGAACATATTTTGAGGGTTCAATGCATTTCTCCGGTGGAACAACCATAGGTATCCCCGTATAGGAACAAGATGGATGTGATTGGAAGCTGGTAAAATTAGCTGCTGCTCAATCTATAACATCAATAGCAACCCCGGATATCATGGAATGGTAGGCACACTCAAGGTGATTCCTACAACTACCAAGTTCACAAATTACCATATCATACATCCACAAAATTTCGGAGTTAATGTCACAAAACACAACAATAAATATACTTACATCTTTATCACACACTTGAGCGAATAAAATTATACACACATGACATGCTCTGAATCGCGAAACTATACAAAATTTCATTCTTATTCATTCATCGATATGCAACACAAACCGAAAACAAAACCAAATCCATAACAGAAATACAAAAATGAGATATCACTTAAAAATATAACAGACAAGGCCATAAATCTTTTTTTACAAGTAGAAGTCTTATGATGCTTTCTCCTTGTCTAATCAATTTGAAATGTATTTAACAATGGAGTTCTAGGCATAAATTTACCTTCAGAATTCCATGATATCCACCATGAATAATTCCTTCTTCAATCACGTCAAGACATGCTTGGTGTTGAGGCAAATGTTTTGCAGTCTGTTTAGCATGTTGTCGAGCAGCTTTTATAATATCATGCACTTCAAGCAGGTCACCAACTTTATCTGTCCGATGAAGAGAACGTATCCATGGTTTGCGCCTCCCTGCAATGTCTAACGCCCATTGTCGAGAGACCTTCAGCAATTCCTCTGAAGGTACAACAGCGTCAACAAGGCCAAGCCTCTCTCCTTCTTCCGATGTTATCGTCCTAGATAACTGTAACCAGTATTCATTGAATAAACAACAATGCACACTCAACACTTGTATGCAATTATCACAAGAACAATACTCAATGGAAGGTAGCCAATTTTTCTTTTTTCTTTTTTTTTTGAAAAATCCATTTAAATAAAGTAGATGATTTTGCACAACAAAAGAAAATGCTAAATGATGCAAAATCAACCAGTACAAGCATTAGGGAGTGTAATCATGATTTTCTTTGATACATAGGTTTCTGCCGCATTAGTTAAAAATGTTGTCTTGTTTCAAATCTGCCCAAAGACACATAAGAGCAGTGAAGTTGAATTGTATTATAACTCCAATGGTTGCCGGGTTACTACAACAAACACTATTATCGCAATTATTGATACCTCCATAAATCAGCTAGGTAAAAGAAGAAAACACATATGAAGTATTAACAAAAAGTGAGACTCGGCAGCCGGGTGGAACACTCTTTAACTTCACACGTTTGCAAACTAAATGACCAGTGATTTAAATTATTAGATAAAATTTATTACTAACCCAAATACAATTTCAACACATAAAAGGGTATGTCATTATGAACTAAACGTGACACAATTAATAACCAGGCAGTGGGAATGCACCATGCTCGGAGTGAGTAACTTGAATCACATCAAATCATTCTCGCTTCTCCCTTTTCTTTTTTCAAGCCAGAATATTATAGGTTAGTAGAGTGATAGGGACTTTCTATAAATAAACGATAAACTAACTAATCATCAAATGACCGAGTAAAATGAGGTGTGAGAAGCAATATATAAAGGGAAAAATCAAATGGTCAATTTTTTGTTTTTCAAAGTTTGTCATACAATATGCATATTTTGCACCAAACTGAACTCTGCCAGTCCTTTTTGCATTATCTTCAGGTTCATAAGGGTCACTTACCAGCATAATTTCAAGAGCTTTCGGCAAACCTATCAGCCGTGGAAGTCGTTGTGTGCCTTGAATGAAAAATGATCAATGTCATTTAGTTGTCACCCACCAATGAACTCTGCTTTGAGCTCCTAACCCATTGAGAAAAAAATAACTAAGTATGAGGCAGCTCTACCTCCAGAACCAGGAATAACTCCAAGAGTCAGTTCAGGAAGACCAAGTTGTGCTTTAGGTGCAGCAACACGTGCATGGCACGCCTGCAAAATACGAACTAGGAGTCGACACTTATCTATAAAAAAGGAACTCCGCAAACTTTGGAGTTTAAACATATTTAGTTATAGATAGAGATGAGACAAACCAAGCCGAGTTCTAAGCCACCTCCAAGTGCAAGCCCCTCCATGGCAGCAACAATAGGCTTCTTTGCATCTAACAAGAAGAACATTTAGCAGCATATAAGTTTAAGGGAAACATCAGTAAAACCATTTTAAATTTGAAAATTCATGAAATACCAAATTCGCTACGGACTTTCTATTATATTGACCAAGATGTCAATAGATGCATCAGGTAAGACAGAAACATCTCCTGCAATTTAAAAAAAAAAAAAAGTCTAATTAATTGTCAAGTGTGTGGAAAGGTTCTAGCAAAAACATACAAAAGCACGCACCTGACTTATGCACCATCTCAAAAACATTTATGTCGAAGCCGCCAGAGAATTTACCGCCGTTGCCTTCAAATTAAAATTAAAAGAATAATTTGTCAATCATACAAACCTTCACAAGTTTATAAGTATTATTACTCCGAGGTAACTACGACTGTGGCCAGCACTCCATCTAAGGGACACGACACTAGTATGAGAAACTAAAGTAATAACTTCCAGTTCCAGCCAATCATGGAGTTTGACTGTTTCGTAATTGTTTACATACATGCACAAATCAAAAAACCGATTCACCTCATGAAAGAAGTTATCCTATGATGAACAACAAAAATATTCACAGATGCATTTGAATCATCAACCAACTTTCCAGTTATTCAGATAACATCACAAATACTCTGATATCTTCAACACCAATCTTATACAACTTAATATACAAATAAAAAAAGCAAGGTAACTGAAAACCATACATGAAACGTATCTCCACCAAATTTCTAAAAATTTAAACAGAACGGTAACTCAATCAAAACCAAATCATTCTCACAGCAACGATCAAGCAATCTTTGGTTTTCCTTACAACATACAAAGAAACAGAACTCAAAAGAGAAGCCGACAAGGAAGAACCATCAGCTTAAAAAAATTACCGCACAGAACAGCTGCTAGAACGTCATTCCTCCTCATGGCTTCAGTAAACTTCTCCTTCAATCCATCAAAAACTACATACCAAAAAGAAGCCAATCAAAACGCATCAACCACAGTCCAATCACATAATCACACAGTAATTTAACTAATTATGAGACTGACTTGTAAGCGCGAGCGCATTGACGGGTGGGTTGGATATGGCGACGATCGCCACGCCGTCGTTGACCTCCATGGTTACTGTAGCTTGCTTCATTTTTTACTTCTTCCTGTTCGTTCTCTTTGGAACAAAATTCAGAAATGCCAGTGATAATCTCCTTTTGAAGAGAGATCAGAGAGATTGTGAGAGGAAATACACAATTGGTGTTTCAACTTTCAGGTTTTATATGTCAGCCGAGTGAAATGAATGTCGTGTTACATGTGGAAAGTAGGGGCAAATTTGTACACCAAAATTTAATTCGAGTCCACAAGCGTGCTGTATGGACACGACTTAGGGTTCTCTTCACCCACTTTTAATAACACCATTAAAAGAAAAAGTTGGCAAAAAATTGTATTCATCCATGATTTTTTTAGACTTTGTGAGATTATAAAATTTTTAGTGTATTTAATTTTTTTTTTATTTTTAAAATTTTGGAAATATTCAATTTGAAATTATAAAAAGAGTAAAAGTCATGATGTGTTGAATATTATAATCGAGATTTGTTTGGATTTTGTAAGTCATTGAGATTTGGAAGATAAAGTACTTATTGGCAAATCCTTACATAAAATTTGAGATTTAGAGAGTGTATTCATTTGACACTTTAAGTGACATTTCATAACTCTTTTAAATTAGATTTCAAAGAATTTATTAGAAATATTAAATCTGGATATGAGATTGAATTGCAGCATTTTATTTATGTATTTTGTCTATGGAATATCGACAAGCCTTAAAAAGTCCAAACAAATCTCAACAATAAATATACTAAAGACCTCATGACTTTTAAAGAGTTTTAAAATATCATATAAAAAAAGTCAAACTTTTAAAAATTTTGGAAACCCTAAATAAAATATATTGGGATTCTTAAAATTTAAAAAATTTGTCAAAGTTCTTATTGAATAAGTTTTCAAATAAAATTAAAGTCTTGAAAATCTGCCTTTTGAAAAGGGAAAGCGTTTTAGACACACCACAATTAACCCGAATCTCTTCATATTACGTCACCGGTACACCGAGAATCTGCGCGAGTTAGATGCACGCGTCCTACTGAGGACGAATCCTGGCCAACTCAAATGTCATCTCCAAGAAAGAAGACCTCATAAGAAATGTCCTAACACCTTCCATCCGAACTCGGGACCCTGTATGTTGGCATTAGAGTTGGAAAGAATAAACTCAGAACTTAACACCCTTAATGAAATAGCTTTGCAAACAACTGATCCTTGAGAGCAAAGCTTCTAAGGCAGTCCTCCTAGACCCAACGTCTAAGTCAACCCCCCCAATTGTAGACTGTCTGAGCCTGAAAATGGGTAGATAACAGAAAAACAATCAAGGACAAGCGAAAGTCCGAACTCGAAGGCGAGGAGAAAGTTCGAGCTCGAAGGCGAGGAGGAATTCTGAGCTCAAAGCAAGAGGAAAGTCCGAGCTCAGAACAAGAAGGAATAGATCTAACCTCAAGGTGAGACTGGAGTCCGATCTCACGGATTCTGAAGGTCGGACCTCAAAGTGCGCTCATAGTCGATAAATAATAAAAAAATGCCACTTTCAAGCCAATTAAGCATACAGATGGGATGTACTCAACTCTGTAGACCTACAACCTGCAGACCCATAGGATTACATGTGCTCATTAAAGGCCTATTAATCAGCATTAAATGACTATTAATCATCGCTTAAGACCCGGCATACCTCATTTATTGTTTGTCATTCTGTTTTACTGTACGAAGTGACCCGGTGAACTGTAGATGAACTTTAGCCGAGAATGTTTAGCTATAAATAGTCCTAAGTTTCATCTGTTGGAGGGTGTTTGAAAAAATCCTTCCAACTCCACAAATTCTCTCTCTATATGAATTATAAGGAACAATGATCATTTGTAACTAATTCAAGCATTTGAAGCCCAGAGGCCGACCTCGGAATTCTCAGAGGCCGACCTATTCTAAGTCCAAATTTCGTACTTTCACATGAAAATCCCACATTATCCTATAATTCTATTTTCCTAATCCGCACATAGTTCATTATTAACCATTGATACAATTCGCATATCAACAAGCCCAACTTTTCCTTTTCCCTTTTCCCAACCCAGGCCCAATCCACCTGTTTCTCTTTTTCTGTCTCCCTCTTTACTATTTTCTATTATCACAGCCCAGTCCCAACCCACAATTTCCTATCTTCTCTCACTCTCCTTCTTTCTGTATTCCAAGTCGCAATAGCGTTGCTAAGGACGATGAGAGTTGGGGTCCCGCAATCTCGCCACCTCTGTTGTTGTCTGGCATGGTCGGTGATGGTCTCCAGTTGCCGGATACTCTCCTTGATCTTGCTATGGGTCGTCTTGAGCTCGTTTAGAATGGACGGTGGACCTGTATCTGAAGGCCCGATGCAAGGGCTGGTCGATTGGTTCTTGGTTCAAGTTGAGACACGTCAGGTTCACATCAATGAAATCGTCGTCGAATCATCCATGGAGGGTAAAGGTTCGAAAAATAAACCTCGAATCAACGGAATTAACACGGAATTGAAAAAAGAGTTATGTGTAATCGAAAGACATTTTACATTTGAGGATCTGAGATTTAGTACTGAAAGTAATAGGTTTTCAAACTTCGAATTGATGAATAATTTCATGCGTGCGGCGACAAGAGACGACAACGGGAGGGCGGGGACCCTCCATGCTCGTTTTGACATGTCTAAGTTTATTGCATTATGATATCACACTTGCTCGACTACACTTCACATGCCTTTCGCCTAATTTATCGCATAATGAGATCGCACTTTCTCGATTAACTTCGTCTTTCTGTAGCATAGTTTATCGCATAAGTAATTCACACTTGCCCAAATTAGCTTCGCTTGTCTGTCGCATACTTTGCCGCATAGTTATTTCGTATTTTATCAATTAAATTCGTCTATCTGCCGTTTATTTTATCGCGTAAATATTTCACACTTTATCAATTATTTCAGACTCTCTATTGCATAGTTTATCGCATAATTATTTCGCACGTGCTCGATTATCTTCGCTTCTATGTGTAGCATAGTTTATCGCATAACTATTTTGCACTTGCTCGATTATCTTCGCATGTCTGTCGATCGGTTATCTCATAATTATTTCGCACTATCTCGATTATCTTCATTGTCTGCAACATAGTTTATCGCATAACTATTTCACACTTGCAGTTATTTTCTTCTGTCAATCGCATCGTTATTGCAATTTATTGATTATCTACACCTATTTGTCGCACAGTTTATTACATAATTTATTTCACATTTATTGGAGTGAAAAAATTAAATTTTTTATTTTCATTGTGAAAAATTTAACTCATCTTGATAGTGAGTGAAAATAACTATTTTTTTAAAAAAAAATTGAAGGGTTGGGTGGGTGGAGAATGCCCCTAGTCCTGCATATGTAATTTGGCCTCTCAATTTATGGATTAATGAAGCAAAAGAAATATTAATGAAGCACAAGAAATTCCGACTTTGGGAATGTAGATGGTTAGGACACCATGCTCTATGTTCTAGGCCGGCGTGTTTTAGCCGTCACTACCTATGAAACTGTTAGATCTGGAATTATGACAGCCTGAGGTTGCCATTTTTTGTTTAATTGAGCAATCTTGACCAAACTAATGTCTAATTGTAGTAGTATCAAATGCGTATTTTGATTATGGGATGGAGGTTAAGGCCAAATATTCTAAGTTGTCCCTACTCTTGATATGTATATTGTTACAGATATACTAATTGTACTCTTATATTAGCCCCAAAATACCAAAATTTGTAATTAAATTATATTAGTACAACGTTAGTGAACTATATATTATTTCATAAAAAAATTGTCCAACAAAAAGTAAAAAAAAATAAAATTCTTATTGTGAAATGAAAAATTGTAATAATTAATAAGAAAGTATTTTTTAATATTATTTCGTATTCTAGAAAATATTTTAATGAAGTATTATTTGTTTTATTTAATATATATATATATATATATATATATATATATATATATATATAGGATGTGGTTCAAATGAGAACCAAGTCTTATTGTGAGAACCGTGAGAACGGCTATTTTTAGTTGTGCGAAATGCTATGATTGGTTGTGTTTGGTGCTATTTTTAACCATGATGAATTTTATTAAAAATAGCAACACAATTTATATTAGCATTTGTGAAATGATAGCACCATCTAATATTAAAAATAGCATCATATACAATTGAAAATAACATCAAATATGGTTCTCACGATTCTCACATCAGGACTAGTTTTCATTTGAACCTACCCCTATATATATATATTTGTCAAAATAAAATAGAATAATTAATTTATTTGGCAGTTAATAACTCCCGTGAAACTCACGGGCTCTTGCAAGTTAAATATTTGTATCAAAATAAAGAAATATATATTCTTATAGTAGAATGATAATAAATTAAGGAAAAGTCTAAAGTTACATTACGAACCATTCCGTTGGGTTAAAAATCCCAACGGAATGGTTCCGTAATGGGATTGTAGCCTAACCCACTAAATTAAATATACAATTTAAAACTAAAGAATAAAAAAATTAATTATACCCTTACTTTATAATCAGTTTGTCAATTACAAACACAACACACACGCACATATATATAACTCAATAAATTAATTTTGAATTAATTTAATTTTTTTTCAAGTTTGATTATATTGTAATTATATTTTATATTTATACAGTTTTCCTTCCCGATCTAATATTTTTTAAAATATCTTCAACTTTATAATATTCAAAAATTTAAAATATAATGTGTATGCTTGTAATATTTTAAACTTTATGAAATAAAATAATTATTTTTATAATTTTAATTATAATGTTTGTTTTTTTTTTCACGATCATGATTTTTAATTTATGTGTAGTCTTTATTTATGTCGATACATAAACTTTTAGAATATTTTTATACTAATTTGATGTTCATACTTAGTTTATATAGTTTTTTTTCAAATAAAATAGCTATATTATGGTATGTTCATACACGTATATTTCTATTGCTTTATAACATAAAAAATAATTTTATTTGATCTATTCTAATTTATTTGATAAATAATTGTAGATTTTATTTATAATGCTATATATAATTTGTTTTTTTGTATTTTATATATATAATATGGATGTCAAATCGAAAGTCGTTAAAAGATAAATAATTTGATATATCATATATGAAAAATAAAAAACAAACCAAAAAAGTTATA